CATTAATGAGAAATAAAATGAACTTTTTTGATTTTAGCAAATGGCTGTAATGAAACAATTTTTTAAAAATTTAAAGGGGTCTGAATACTTTCCATACCCACTGTACATCAGTGCGTAAGATGAGATCAGAGAAACTTATTGATCTCTAGACCGGAAATTTGCTTGTTGCAGCAGCACAAAGACAGAAATACGTGCCGATACTAGGGAAGTCAAAGTAATAATAATAGCTAGATACAGCTAGTGCGGGTGGTTTTTGCCTGTTTGAACCATGGATGTATAAAGAGAACTGGATACAGCGTCGGAGGCGCTGCCCGTCCAAGTGAAAAAGCAAAGTAAAGTTCGACTTCTGAGTAAAGAATTTAGATGCAAATACCCTGAACCTTTGGCGATCTTCTGCATAGATGGGCCCATACTGCATGTGCACTAGCGTTTCCTTTAACCCCGCCTCCCAGCCCTCAGTCCAGCCTCTTTCTCATTCACATGAACAGAGGAAGACAAATAACTGTGGATTTGGCTACTAGTGCACTTTAAACTTACACCACCCTAATGATTTAAATAAGGGATATTATAAGTGTTCGTACTAAGAAGTTGTTTTACCCAAAGAAAATATATTTTTAAAAGTATCCCGAGATACAGAGGTCTCTTTCCTAATTTTAGTCAATGGGAAAGAGTCTTTTTGGACCCTAATGGCGTCACTTGGCGGACCTGGTAGTTGTAATTCCACCATTTGGAATCTACAATTTGCTTTAAAACCAAGCGCTCTTCCTGGGTTCTTGGTCCGAGCACATCCAGCATTGTCTAACTGCACGGACACAGATGGGTGTAAACTATGCGGCAGACATGCATTTTTGAGACACTGCCTTCCACAGTTTGGGATAATGTCAGTCTGAATAGAAGAGATCCAAAAGTTACCATGTCACAATTCCCTGTCAGCTCACGTCCTGCGTCTTTAATACACCAACGTAGTAGGAACATAATATCTAATTATAAAGCGAGGAAGGACTTCCTGTCCTTCGCATATATCAAGAACCGTCACTCATGGTGGGTGTGTTGCTGGGGAGCCCAAGGGAGTGCCGTGTCGGATGGGATGCAATTTAAGACACATGACATGTTCAGTATAAATAAACTAGAACAGCTCTCTGTGCAGCTGCAGCTGATAATTTAATTCTTAGCCAAGTCTAATATTTACTGTTAAAATAATTTTTTCAACTAGTAACAACAACAAGAAGCACGTCTTTATAACTGAATATTAGGGTTTAAACCAAAAAAAACCCATCTAGGCTGTTGTATTGATTTTTCTCTTGTGCGCCAGTGTGTTTGGGTCTAAATCAGGGGTGTCCAAACTTTTTTCAAAGAGGGCCAGATTTGATAATGTGAAAATGCCCAAGGACCAACAGTCCCTGCTGACATTATTTTAAACAATACAAGTAGCCTACACATACATTGTTATTTAATCATTTTATTTTCAATGACAGCAAATGGCAATGTAACCAAATGTAAGCAGCTATAATCACTATTTTAAAGTGATTAGTGACTCGTCTAAAACATTTAAAAAAGGAATAACTTCAATAGAATCATTCTATACACTGTAGCTTCTTTACATTCTATTAGAATGTAAAGAAGCTACAGTGTTGCCTTTTCTTCCCACAAGAATGTAATTTTGTCAGGTTGATAAAAAAATGTCACTTTACTTCCTGACATTATTGTTACTTTACTGCAGCGGTGTCAGATAACACAAAGAACAAGCAATCTAAAAGCTAATTACATAGAAACCGATCAATATTCTCACCTCAAGACAATCTTAAATATGACTTAGTGAGGGTAATGAAAAGTTGTCTAACATTTAAGTTCAACACACATGAAACAGGCTAACGAAAAAAACTCGGTCTTCTTCTCGGGGCAAATGTTTTCCGCTACTTTCATAACAGTCTTTGATAAACTCAACTTCCGTAAAAGGTTTGTCATGTTTAGCAATTGCCATGGCCACTTCGTAGCTTACTTTGATGTTTTCATGTGAAAAGGACCGCTGCCTGCAAACAGGCTAGCATTAGCATGTTTGGTCTCGTAGTGTCTCTTTACATCATATTCCTTAAACAAGGCAACAGTCTCATGACTAATTAGGCAGACACAGTTGTTTCGGTTTTCGGTGAAAAAAATATTGCGATCTCCACCTCTCCTGGAAGCAGCGGCCCTCATTATCGACTTTCCTTTTTTTACTTGCCGTAGCCATGACAGTTCAAGGGTCAGAGCCAATTTCAAACAGCCAGACAGTTACAGAGTGGTGCTGCCACCATGAGGTAAAAAGAGGAATTGCATGTTGAATTTGTATGATTTATTCATTCCGTGTTGACTGTGCTGGCGGGCCATAAATAATGCATTTTAAGACAGAAGGTGCGGGCCATATAAAATCTGACCTCGGGCCGTGATTGGCCTGCGGGCCGGACTTTGGACATGCCTGGTCTAAATGATTAGAAAGGCCTCATTATAATGTTGTGTAAACACTCAGGAGTGTGAAGTTAGAGAAGCTTGTGACTGGAGGTCTACTGCTCCTCTGAGTGTCTTATTCTGCTGCACATCCTGTTTGACCTCTGCTCAGTGAGCCATTATGAAGTTTTATTGAATATCTAAACATCTGTCTCCCTGCAGGCGTCCTCTCTGATGACCAATCCTCAGGTTCAGCAGCTGTAAGTTGATTTTAAGGTTTTCTCGGCCAATTTCTTCCTCTCTGGTGTTTTTTGAGGGTAACTTCCTGTCTTCTCTCTCTTTCCTAGGATGTCGGGAATGATGTCAGGATCATATGGCGGGATGCCAGGTGGAGCAGGTGGAGGACTAGGAGGACTAGGCGGGATGCCAGGTGGAGGACTAGGCGGAGGACTAGGCGGAGGACTAGGAGGACTAGGCGGAGGGCAAGGAGGAGGACTAGGCGGAGGGCAAGGAGGAGGACTAGGCGGAGGACTAGGAGGACAAGGAGGAGGACAAGGAGGAACTGCAGCGCCCCCAGGAGCTGCTGCTGGAACCGGAGATTTATCGGGACTGATCCAGGCGTAAGTACCTCAGCAGAGGGATCATACTGATGTTCATCTGAGTCAAGGACTGTCGGGTGGATAATGAATACACTGTCGGGAGGTTGATGATGTCCCGTTTGCTGTTTGTTTTTGCAGGGGTCAGCAGTTTGCTCAGCAGATGCAGCAGCAGAACCCCGAACTCATCGAACAGCTGAGGAGTCAAATCCGCAACCGAACGCCCAGCGCTGGAAGCGAGGATCAGCCATGACACTCAGATAAAGTAAACGTTCAACTTCATTTTTTTTTTTCTCCCCGGAGGGCAGTGGGTTTTTACAGCAAGGCATATAACAAGATAAACATGCTGTACAGTAAGGGGGGGACAACAGTAATCGCAGGTGTTTCTCAAAGCACTTGAGCTGTAGGTATTCAGACTGCACACTGCAGACTTTAGCTACACGGAGGGCGGGGGCTGTCATGAAGCTGGTGGGAACACTGTCCTGTGATATGTTGAACATGTCAGCTGGTTGGGATGTTTTCTTAATACAAGCCCAGCCGCTTTACTCATCATTTCCTCCAGTGAAGTACAAGTACCTCAAAAAGTTGTACTTAAGTACAGTACTTGTAGTAAATGTGATACGTAGGCGTGAATAGCCAGTGACAATGAATGAGTAATTAAGTGCTGTGCTCTAAATGTCTCAAAGAAAAACTCATGATGAAGCAATATATAAGTAGAGGTTATAAATGTTAATCTTTCTCTCAATAAAGGTAAAGGAAGACAAAAGATCATTTAGCTCCATGAATAAAGAGGCGATCTGCTTCATTTACTGTGATTCATGAATAGATGTCTTTCTAAAAGCATGAGATATTTCCGAATTCATCCCATTTTATCTCGAGCAAATAGACCGGCGTTGGCTGATATTATCTTATTGCAGATTTATTGTTATGAGTATATATGAGACCTGATGTTTGCAGTCATTAGAAATGGCTTCAAGTTACACTGACAAGTTGATTTTTACACTGTATGTCTCCCATATCCTGGTCAAGAGCCACATGTTTATTATTATCGAATAGAAATAAATTGTATTGACCAGCATCAGACCATACTTGATCCTGTATTGTTCACTTCCTCCAGGTGGTTTGGTTTCTTCATTTGTGAAAAGAGCAGATTTCCCAGCACGCTCACCTCCCGCTGCTGTTTGCTCTTGTTTTTGACTTTTATTTTGGCAGGTGATTAATATGTCGCATCCTGTCTCTGTTTCAGGTTGGACAGGTTTGCTTGTGGATGAAAAGCTGATATGGATCATTTATAACTCGAAGGACTAAAAGGAAGTTTTTGTTTTTTTGTTTCCCCCCCCATCACTGAATAATTCCTGCACGAGAGAACGAGGAGCTCCAACCGCTTCATTCAGGAGCCACGTCACCAAAAACCACCCACTTCCCTCAGCTCTGTGTGGTTTTTATGAAGAACATTTAACACTGTGGTATCAAACACAGATTAATTCTAATAAAGAAATAATGCTCTAATGGGAACATGGATATTAAAACAACAGAGTTTAATACCAAAAGCTTGAAATTTCTTCTTAAAACTACACAGTGTAACTTTATATGTTTTGTCTAGTACCCTGCTTATTGGTGGATCTGAGTGAGTGGGTGGGTGTGTGTGAGTGAGAGTGTCAGGGTTAATTTAGTGTGTGTGGCAGGTTGAGTTGTAAGGAGACTGCAGGGAGGCAGAGAGCTGTTGAAAACACAGTTTCGACAATTAAAAAGAGCATTTCAACATTTTACACTCTCCTCCAGTCTGACGTCTGATGATTCACTTTGGAACCATTTTGTTTTCCCGATCAGCAGCCTCACAGAAAAACGGTTCCACTGACTTAGAGGTGTAAACTCACACTGACGTGTTTAAGCTTGGCTCAAAGTAAACGATGAAATAGCCCAACAGTGTTCCTAACTCCCATGCAAGTGGTCCCCAACCTGTTTTCCTTGCGACTCCTTATACAGTGGGTATGGAAAGTATTCAGACCCCTTTAAATTTTTCACTCTTTGTTTCATTGCAGCCATTTGCTAAAATCAAAAAAGTTCATTTTATTTCTCATTAATG